TCGCCGTTACATCGACCTTTTTGTACGACAAGAGCTCAAACCACCGCAAAAGTCGGCCCGGCTTTTTCGACGATTCACCAAACCTCAACCCTCACCGTCTACCGGCTACCGGCACGATGGACGATAAGATGTAACAAGAGCACTCAAACATAAAGAAGGGGGACAAAAAAGGACACTCAGATCATCGAGCGGATCTACCCCACCGTCAAGCAAAGCACTCACTTCATGCGCTTTTCCGGTGTGAATACTCCGGTGAGCCACTCACCTCGACAACATGTTTGCGGGACGCAAACCAGGCCACCAATGTAGCGGGGGGAAATATCGCACACGCGAGGTGATGAAGAGAATTTTATCCCTTGCAAAGCGAAAAGGGAGAAAATTTCTCCCGTTGGTTTTCCTCTTGGCCCAGCGTCTCACGAGTGCTTCTAGATCTCGAGCACTGATCACACCCGTTCATGCTTACACCATGTTGACTAAAGACCGGTCTGTATCCGTACACGAAAAAAAAACACCTAACAAACCAACGAGCAAACTTGGGGCGACGAACACGAACCACCACGCGGCACCGACGACTTCTTCCAAAACCCCCGGGCCTCCCGTCCGTATGTGGAAAAAAAAGAGAGAAAGAGGATCCTAGCACAATCGATCTATTCGTGACCGCGTTCTCGCCTACAGAGGTTTATCTGAACTACTAACCGATCCCCCGAAGGACGGGAAGAACTTAAGAAGGAGTGGCGTGGGGGAGGGATGGGGTCATGGAACCGAAGAAGACAGAGATCAGGGGTTTGAGAGCAAGGCCCCCTTCCTCTCTCTCTTTTCTTTCTTTCTCGGAATCTGCGCCGTGAACCCCCCAGTCCTTCTCAAACGAACAGGTCCCGAAACCTCTTTCGGAGGGGCCGTGGAATTTGGGAACCCTTTAAGTCTATCTTATATGAATCTACCCATAATTTGAAGGAGAAAAAGTAATCCGTCGCGTCGTGATGTGGAATCCTGGCGCGGGCGGCGATGAGCAACAGTGAGGCTAGGCCAGATAGCTCTGCACCTCGCATCTTGCATGCAACGCGCTAGGTGCTGCTGGTATACCTAGGACTAGGCCACCCGAGTCCGAGGAACCCGGGTTTCGACATCATTTGACCTTTTTTTCAACAACTTTGACGAACAAGCTAATGTAAAGACAAGAGGTAAGTGTAACAGTGGGCAGAAAAAGCGAAGGAGAGGGGGATAGAAAAAGGGAGCATGCGAGCATGAGACGTTTGATCGGATGTGCCATCCATAGTTAGGGCGATCTTATCAAGGCGGGTTTCTAATTGAGGGACGGGACTTTGTTCCAACTTTGCAGTACTCTTTTTCTCTCTGCTTGGACCGAAGCACGGACGATAGGCCACTTTACAAGCATAATCAACCGAACAGGCCTTCTTTGAAGCCCGCTTCTTTCGAGTGAATGAATGAACTCGGAGGAGGATCTCAATCAAGTGCGGCGGAGTTCTCTTACGCGACAGGGCTGGGTTGTTCGTCGCCGGCTGTGGCTTCGGACAAGACTCCGAGTTGCAAAACCGTGGGATGTTCGTGGTAAGTAAGCTTTGGTGCCAGCGGGGGTCTGGATGGGCTCCAGGTGCTGTGAGTGTATCAGTACGGGAAGCGTGGACAGGCAGGGCTGAAACGAGACTACGGGCGATGAACCGTCAGTACGGGATATTCTCCCTCGACTACGAATCAGTTCTGAGGGTCCTTGAATGACCTCGGCATCTGTTCGCTGGACATGCAAGGCTCATGTCGCTTTGCCAGGTTTGAAAAGCGTAAGCGCAACTTTGAAGACCTGACACTACCTAAAGTATGTTGTCAATCATATCACATTTCGCACCTGTCCACTCGAGGAATTTCCTTTGATGGCCACGCGACCAGCTGTGAATACCGAGGCATGCGAGGGTGTGGGATAACGGGGATCTTGACCAGCCCGCCTGGGGAGGAAGCAAGCATTCTGAATGGGTGATTTCTATCAAAATTAGCATGGGTGATGGCGATATCTGCCTGCCCTATCAGTAGTATGTAGCGAATGGTGATCAGCGTGCAGGAACAAGGCGCGCACGTTCTCAGGATGGTGCGATGCGCCGAAGTCATGTCCAGTAAGGGGCGAGGGGGGGGGGGGGGGGCAGGGGGCGGGGGGGGGGGGGGGGGGTGGGAGGGGGGGGGGGGGGGGGGGGGGGGTGGCGGGGGGGGGGGGGGGGGGGAGGGAGGGGGGGGGGGGGGGGGGGGGGGGGGGGGGGGGGCAGAAGGGATCCGGTGCTGGGTGAGAAGCTAGCCCCGAAGCTCATAGTCGTGAGTACCGACCTGGTCAATTTGGAGAGTACCATCAAGCATCGGGCGAGACGACCATTCACAGAAGAGAAGTGTAAGACGGAGGTTTGATATGATCACGAGTCGTCCAAGTGAGGCTCTTAATCAGGTCTTTTGCCACTATTGCAAGAAAGGCAAGGTAGTCAGGATGCCTGGCTCTCGTTACGTCCTCCTTTTCCTCGGTATCGTGGACGGTGACTGTGAGAGGTGCGGGAGATGGACGACAGCATTTCGGCCGGCAGAAGATGGCTTTCGGAGGGCGCGGGCGCAGGCGCAGATCTGCGGGCGCGGCATTGAGGCCGACCCAGTCTCGGAAGTGAAATCTACGGCCGGGCATCTGAGTAGGCGGGGAACCGGTGTCATGTCAATTTGTTGGCAACTCATGTAAGTCATTGATTTAGGAGTCTCATGACTCTGCACAATCGTAGGACCGGCAGGCAGTACAGCTTGTGCCTCTAGTGTCTACGGTAGAATCAAAAGAAAAACTATCGAGAAGCATTCGAAGTCGAAACGGCGATGGGTTACTTTAGGCCCCCAAAAGCCGAAGTAAGGCAATCTAGGGATAACATGTCGGGTGGTCGGATTGACACCGTTGTATCCCTACTAAGGTAGAGAGAGTGAGGGGGTTGCAAGGGGATGAATGCAACCACTTCCTTTCTCTATAGAGTATAGACTGCTCTGTCTTCCACAGACGTACCAACCACGTCGGCGGGCGATGAGTCGGAGGGGTTGGAAGATCCCATCTTTGGGGGCGGGTTGAGTTTCTATTGGTAAGTGGGCAAGAGCTGAGATGAACCATGGTTGCAGGGGTGATACGACTGAAGTTGCACGTGGTGGCTGGAAAAAGGTGAAAGGAACCAGCCCGCCTTGCTCGCGGACGATCAGGAGGCTATTCGCCCCAGACAGCGAGATTCCTCCTACGGCGAACCATCGTAGGAGCCCAAGAGCTTTGACCGAGGAGCTGAAGCCATCCCCCACTATGGGCAAATCCCCGGAGGACTCGGCGGCTTGCTGCTTGCACACTCAAGCAGCCAGTAGCAGGGACTTGCCAAGGGTGCAGAATATAGGTGAAATGATCTGGATAGATGGACAACAGAATAGCTCATAGTATGCGTAAATATCACTGGCTTGACCTCAAGGCCAGGGAGACGGATAAGAGAGAGAAGCTATAACTCTATAGGAAGGTCGACGAGATGCACAGGCATCGCGTGCAAGCCAAGGAACAAGACTCACCGAGCGCAGCGGTGTCGGTCAAGATTCTGCCGTCAAAGATGGGAAGAACCCAAATGCATCGGTCCATCGTTTTCATATTCGGTATCGTTTTCAACCCCTCTGTTTTGGTCGCAAACGGTACAGTCCCTTCCCACTCTACCATCATCAGAAGGGTTGGGTAAGGCCAAATGGGCCCATCTGGCTTTGTGCGTCGTGGGTGGCAGGCTTAGAAGCGAAACGTGACACGTTGGCTTCGAACGAAGCATACGCAGTAGTGTCTCCCATCAGCCCTCTCTGCAAAAGCAGACCTCGGATACCGGAGTTTCGCCGACGTGCAGGTAAGAAGGGGAACTTCGGTCATCCCCCGGAAACTATCAGCGAGGCAGTAACCCCGTCACGGCCATGTCTGTGGGAACGATTGCAGTAGCCCATTGCGAGGTTGAGTGGTGATGGGAATCCTTCCCTCTTGATTGGAAGTTGGGACAAATGTGACCAAGTGTTTCTGGCCCAACCATGAAAGGAAAGCGAGAGGACAGCGCTCTACTCTGAACAGCATGTACCCAGTTGTGGGAACATCAAATCTCGGCGGTGCAGGCTCTGAGGAGGAGGGCCTCGACTGACTACACTACTGCAGATAGCTGCGGGTTTGCAGCCGCAGTTGCACGGAATGTCCTTGCAGTCTGGTACTCGTCCGCGGACGTGCGAGATAAGCGGTAGATTCCCTGCCGTCTGATTACCGCGTCGAGCCACTTCGCATCATGTTGAACGTTCTTCTTGAGTCAATATGTTGCTGATGTTGAGCCAGGCAACGGCGCTCGTCACGAAGAAACAACCTGAGAATGCGCGTAGGCTTTGTCGACTCCTGCTGGTGTATTGGATGAGGTGTGTGTGTGAAAGTGGGATGGGTTGAACGCTCAGCCAGCCACGACGAGCTCTGGCAGGGCGGGACAGGGTAAACTCGGGCGTACGACAGGCCAGGGACCAGTCAGGTATGCGGAGTCCACAGGGAAACAAAAACGATAGTCGTATGGATGCGGGTACAGAGTGAGGCTTCTTTTTGTTCTTTCTCCGTCTCTCCATTACTTCTGGAAGACACGAAGAAGGAATGGATCATGGATCATCGGCGATATTGCGACATGTGGGTAACAATCTGCGATCAGGGCAAGCACAGGCACAGGCCTACAGGCCTTGTTTGCCATGATTGCTATGTGCTGAGAGGAGTGGGCAACATGTGGATTCCTTGCGTGGCAGGCTGGACCCAGCTCGCACGAGGAGAGGATCGGCAGTGCGAGTCGTGAGCTTCTCAAGAACGACCCTTTTGGCCAGGGAGATGGATGGGCATCTTCCTACAGATACCCGCCGGTACCAAGGATGAGATCTCGCGAGAAGAGTTGACCAGGGTGTAACGGCGACAAACACAATCAACGGCTGATTGAGCGGTGCGCATTGGGCAACTACACGTAGAGAGTGTTTGAGTGTGTATAGATGTCATGGCGATCTTTGGTTGCAGAGTTGAAGCGAAAACCGAAGTAGTTGTGGCGGACAGAACCCAGCGCATGCAGCGTCAGTAATGACGGCGACTTGAGACGAGAGCGTCTACCTTGAAGGCACAGGTGGGTACTTGAGAGGGGTACGACGGAATAGAGTGCGACAATCGACCAAAGACGGAGGGAACTGGGCAAGCTAGCTGGCCTAGAGGGCAATATGTGTTAGAAGTGTTCGGATGCGGTGGTTAGGAACGAGATGGCATGGAAGACAAGATACCTACTACTGCGCTGTATAGCAGAGAGTTGGAATTCTCAAGTTTGCAACCTGGGAGACCACAAAATGCCATGTGCGTGGAGCACTGCAAGCCCAAGTTACCGACCTGGTGGGCTGAATTGTGGTATCGAATCCTGCTTTCGCTTCCCTGGCCAGAGGTTCCGCATTCCATTCAGGTTGATTGGGGGATGCAGCGGAAGAACCCCAAGATGGTTCAGGACGGTTCTTTGGGGCTTTTTGCACAGTGGCAGACTCATACAGGGTCCAACCAGGGGGCGTTGGAGGTCGGATGTCGTGGGATATCGCATGCAGCGCTCCGTATCCGTAGCTACCTTGAGTTAGGTATCTACATAGTAGGTAAAAGATAGACAGCGCTTACGAATGACCGACGTGCATTTGGACGCTGGAGTTCTGGACCAGACCTTTCGGCTCCCTCTGAGAAATTCCATCTGCGTGCTTGGTGCTTGCTTGCCTGTATGCTCTGAAGTTTGACAGTGACACCCGCACGGCGACCGCACGGAGGGGAAGGAGGACGACTCAATGCTTGCTCATTCTCGTGCGTTCCCAGCAGTCGGGCTGGGTGCGTATGTGCGTACCTGGGCCATGCCACCCGTCTGCCTGGTTGCTGAGTTGAGGGTTGGGGAATTGAGGTTAAGGGTTGAGTCATATAAGGTAGGTAGGTAGGTATCTTCACTCCCGTCTCCTGCATCTGTTGTACAAGGTGGGAATGGAAGCCACGACCCGGATTGCGAGACTTTTGGGTTCGTCACCTTGAGAACCTTCCGATGATCGACCTTAGTCACCGAGTGGCTTGCCTGTGCACCTGCCCGAGGTGCGTCGAAAAATTGCTATGCGATCGTGGCTGTTGAAGTCTCGTCTCGAGGGTCGAGGAACGCGTCTCAGAACGGCAGGCACGCCTCGCAGCTCGCAGGCGGGTTCAAAATGGAAGCAGCCACCAAGGCGTCATCCAGCAGATGGTTGCGCCAGTCAGAGACGGCGGCGGGCGGCAAGGTGGGTGCCGGTGTGCCACGGCGCAGACGCTCAGGTGCTTCTTTCCACCCCTCGTGCCCTTCCCTTCTTGCCTACCTTACCCGGGTGCTTCTTACCTGACTTTGGAGAAGGGTGGGAGCCTGAGGTAGTACCGGCGACTTGGAGAGGTACCGCGATACCTCGACCTGGAGAGGCACCTTGCCTTACATGGATTTCCTGCCTGAGGCACAGAACATAGCAGAGAGGTGGTCGACGGGATTGGTCAAGGTACCGGGGTACGGATGCGCTACCTTCCACCTTCCATTCTTCCACGGACGCCGACCCCCTCCCCCTGCCCTTGCTTTTGACGTGCTTCTCCCCTGCAAACCCTGTTCCCAGTGGTTCCAGCCGCCATCCCCGGTGCGCCCCTCGACTGCATGGCAAAGTGGCTCCGAAGAAGGCTTCGTGGGCTTCCACACTTTCGATCGATGTTCGAGAAGGCGGCCAGAAGAGTGGACGCAGGACCCTGTCCCTTTCCCCCGCCGCTGGCCCCTTGCCTGCTCGTCGCTGCCCTGCTGGCCCCCCTCACACACATGAGATAAGCACCACCAGCCCGAAAACTGCAGCGGCCGATCAGTGATGCATTGCCTCGCACTACAATCTCACCAACTACGTCGACCTTACCACGGCCAATCCATTCGCCCATCCATTTCACATTATCCCTCCATCAAGGAATCAGATGAGTCCATCACCACCAGTCGCTCCTCCAATGTTAAAAAGCTGACACGCTCATAGCTTTCTGGAGTGAACACAGGGCGAGAGTTCGACGACCATCGGCACCTACCCACAGGAATGGATACGCAGGTTGGTCAGCCACTGCGGGACAAGGTACCCTTCTGCAAGTATCTTCTCCCCCCCCTCCGTCATCGTCCTATGCCTGCCAGGGGCTTGGGCTTGTCTGAATCCAGATCTGACATTCTGATTCCGACGGGCACTGACATTCTGAGTCCGACAAAGTATTCCCTCCGCCTTGCCTTGCACCCCAGGCCCTGACCTGAGCCTACCTACTCTACGCTGCTACAGCCTACGGACACTACTAGCACTTGATTTCCGGCCGGCCAGCTGCCTACCAGGCTATTCAGCACGAGCGCTAGCCGTCCGGCACCTTCGCTCTGTGCGTCTCAGCGCGGGATGCCTATCAGATAACTCGGTCGAATAGGTCTCTAATTGTCCGCTTTGTCCTTGGCCCGCATTCATCGTATTTCCACTCACGCTCCGTGCTTTCGATCTGTTTTTGTTGTCGACTTTTGGTCCGAGTCGAATTGCGTTGATATTTAGTACCTGCGCAAGACAACTCCATGCTCGGCACGGCGATACATGCTTTGCAGAATACAGTCAACACGAACAAGGGTCGGATCTAGAGCTGCCCGTCTTGGCATGCCGTTGTTTGTGACGAATCTTGGGCCGGAGGGAATGCTTCTGTTGCATCTGCGCCAGATTCTTAAGCGAGAAGAAACGGGCAGAGACAGAACCGTCACCAGAGAGACTTGTTCCCAATAAGCGCCCCTTTCTTGACTCCAAGCTAAGGTATGGTATCTGTGGTCTGAAGCATGTCGCTTGGAAGCCCAGCCGTGCCCTGGCTCATCTGGCGTTGCAGTCACATTCAACACTCCTGTCTCGAGGCCGCAGTGAACCTAGGCTCTTTCCTTCTTTTCTCACTCACGAAACTAGGATCGGAATTGAAAACCAGCACGGAATTATGGAATGTTTGGTCCGAGCTGAGCTATTTGGGCTGGAGATGTCTCTGTCTTCACCTCTCCTACTCCGGCGTTACTGGGTCAATCACCTACTGGAGTTTCGACTGGACATATTTCCTTCTCTTTCCATTCTTTCTGTCTTTATTCTGGGAGAAAGAGCAACAAGCAGATGCCTGGGTTGTCATATGGGTTACCGGCATGCTTTTTTGGCGCTTTTCTCTGCTTCCATCCACTCCTCCCAAGTTCGCAGCGCCGAGCAATCCTTGGCTCTGGAAGACAGGCGCATCTTACGCTAAAGTAGAAGAGGCCACGCCAGACCTGATTCGAAGTGACCTCGTCCTCTGAGTGTAGGCAAGTAAGGTACAGTGTAAGATGTCCGTACCTTGTGGGGAGAAAAGACTCTGGCTTCCATTCCTTCCGTCATCATGGAAGGCTACAGGTATATGGTGCACTCCACATACGAAGCATACCAACTTGCACCATACACCTCACCGGATTCACACCTTACACACACCTCTGAGTCCCAGTTGCCTGTCATTGGATTGCTTACAACCGCCACCATCTACTCTTTCTGCTCCTATGTCAATCTGAGCCGCATTCGCAATTTCCTCACCTGTTTCTCGCGTCGTTTCTTTTGGCTAGTCCGTTTGCTTCTCCAGAAAAATCTCACAGACACTGGACCGGAGCGCTACATTTCCTTGACATGATATCTCATGTTCCTTGGTACGTCTGCGTGGCCCGGTAGATAGACTGCCGGCAAAGAGAAGATGACGAAAAAAGAGCTCCCATTCTTCAGAAACTGGACTAGAGAAATAAAAAAGACGCCAACACCACAAACACTCTTAGTGCCGAAGACTCAGTCGCCTCCCCCACCTCACTTACTCATTCGATCAAACTTTACGTCGCCACTTCAGGGCACAAGAAGAAAAGACTCTGTCTGTGGTGAGTGCATGTTACCATGCTAGCCCGGAGTCAAGTTACACTCCTCTAGCTTTTCCATAGTTTAGAGAGCTTCGAGTTCTGTTTCTTGTTCTCTCCCGCCTTGCTTTGTTGGGCAAAGTATGTAATAATACTTGCCATCCCGTTCTGTCACCGGAATCTGGGTACCTAGGGTAGGTTAGGTAGGGTGATGGGAGGGCATGCACGGCCTACACTCTGTAGTCGGTACAATGACCTCCCAATTCATGGTAAACTTGGGTCTCGTGAGTTGGTCTCTCAGGTGCCTTGCCGTTGCTGAGAGATGGCAGTTATTACAATGGTGACTGTGAGGTATGCACTGAGGTGAGGTGGAAGGGGAGAGGCACAGTGGGAAGCAAGGTGCCTTGTACTCGATAACGTACATTACTTTACCTGGCCTTCTCGATCTCGGCAGTCTTTTTTTCCCGTCTTTTTTTTTTTTTCTTTCTTTCGCAAGCAGCAATTTTTAGGGCCAACTTGGGAGTAGGTACGCTCTCATCCACTGGAAGTACGGAGTACCTGCTGCGTGGTGCGTACGCCCATGGTGCCCTTTTCTGCCCACCTACCCACCCAACCCATACACCCTCCACACCTCACATGCACACCACACATTCCCAGTGCCTGCTGCTGCTGCTGCTGCTTGCTACCTATTGTGTGCTTCTACTGTTGGTGCTGGTGCTACGTACTTACTTACCTTGCTCGAGGCTGCTTGCCGCAACCTGCACCGCACCCGCACCCGCACCCGCACCCGCACCCGCACCCGCAACTGCAACTGCAACCACCTCTCAGGGCAGAGCCTGGGGCTGTCTCTCTCGTCTCTCCCGTTGTCTCTCCTCCCGTCCCCGTCTGGGCTGTCTGTCTCCCACTCACTCGAGGCCCTCTTTCGCACCCGGTACATCCACCCACCCCCCCTTGCGTTGCTTAACAATTTCGTACTCGACCCGGTCCATTGTACTTTCGTACTCTCCTCCCAGTCCCAGTCCTCCAAGGACCCAAACTCCAATCCTCCCCGTCCCAGCTGGCCGCCCAGTCGCCCTCTTTCCTTTCTTCCCACTTCACGCCCGTTCGTCCCAGCCCTTGTTGTACGTAGCCTACCCTTCATGATATCACGTACACTTGTCGTCGCTTCCCTCTTGTGCTCCGCTTCTCTGTCGCCCAATTCTGCAATCTTTTCCTCCTCTCATTCTCCTCCTATGCCAGACTGACCAAAAAAAAAAGACTTTGCTCGTTATCAACAGCGCCAGCATACCGAAGCCTCCACCCTTCGTCTCGAGTACATGCGAACTTTCCGCGCGACGGTACCCGCAACTGCGAAACGACAAATCCCCCCTCTCTCGATCGCCCCTACTCACACAAAAACCCAAAAGGATCCGTACACGCCTCGACTTTAGGAACAAACATCACGTCCATGATCTCGGCCAATCCGATTTCGTGCGACTACCATCGATGCCAATCCTGGTGACCGTCGGAACCACCGCGCTACCGCTGCTTCCTCGCCCGCACTTGGTGAAGTACCATTCATGAGATTCCTGGTCGACACCCCGATCACATCTTGCCTTCCAATCTCGACGACTTTATCACGAAGCCTGCTTCATTGAATCATTCGTTGCGCATTGCCCATCTACCTGGACACCGAAGGCGTTGCGCCACCGTGCTGCTTCTCGACAGGACTGGGTCGCCGTCCTCGACTTGTCCCGCTGCGAAAGCTCAAGAATTGCAAGTTTGATCAATCGCATCGTTACGCTCGTAGATCTTCTTTGCCCTTGTGGCCAGAGCGCTCCGGTCGCGAGACTGGTTGCTCCCTAAAGCCATGATGGACAATGCCACTTGCCATGTCGTCTACGTGAACCGCCAGGTTCGCCAGGACAGGCTTATCCGACCTAACACGCAAAATGATCAGCCACTAGACGCTGCCGACTCCGTCGTGCAGGAGGATGATGATATTCAGAAGGATGCAGATCTGCTACTGGACACTTTTGGAGAAGGTAGGCTCAGACTGAATATCATACACTCGTGGCATCGTGTACTAATGATATGTTCAGTTTATCTTTGTTCCACAGGCTCGGCCTGCATATCCACCCTCTTCCAGCTTTCGGACGAGTCTATGATGGACCTTACGCCAACTCTGGTTCTAATTGATGTGCCCCACGACGAACGGCTACCCAGAATCCGGTCTCGGTCTAGATCACCATCGCCGCACTCCCGCCCGACTACCGCTGACATCAACATTCACACTCCCGAGGAGGATGTCTACGGCCTCAAATTGCTGCAAAGGATCATGACCGAGTCGCATCTGCGCAGCTTATCAAAGCTGATCGTGCCGATACCCATTGTGAGCTTTTCGCCTACCGAGTATGGTAGCGCAACGATTCCGGCTAGCGACGATGCGAAACCCAAGTCTTCGGCGTCAGTGGACCGACGCCTGATCATTCGGTGCCTAGACCTAGGAGCCGTGGACGTCATCATCAGCCCTTTACACCTCAAATGCATCACGAGTCTCGAGATCCATGCTTATCGGGCGCATAAGGATGCGGCCCGTGAACAGCAGGAAATGCTCGAAGTACGGCGCGGCAGAAAACGGTCATGGGTTGGGGTGAACGAGGAGAAACCGTTTTCCTACCTCAGGGAAGCCATGGTATCCGGTCTCATGAGAGGCATCTGTCGGTCAGGCGCGGATTCTGACGACGATCGGATCTCCAACGTTAGCATTGCCGTTTCCACGGATCGCCAAGCTGCTGTCGCTGCCGCCGTTGGTCAGTGGCACTTTTGCGCGCACAGTTTCACAGATGACGAGCTCCTTGTTGCGGCCATGGTGATGTTCAAGCATGCCTTGACAATGCCCGAGTTGGATCGCTGGCGGATACCGACAGGTGAGTACATTGCGCCTACATAAGCCATGCGCGGACGGCTGCTGACGATTTGACTAGACCAACTCATAAGCTTTCTGGTCGCTTGCCGGGCTGCATACAACAATTTTGTCCCTTATCATAACTTCCGCCATGTTGTTGATGTTCTACAGGCTACTTTTCACTTCCTGGTTCGTGTTGGTATTCTTGCGCCATATCCCGCCGATCCCTTGGTGGATCAAGATCCACCGCAGAGCTCCCCAATGGCAAAGCTACTCCATCCGTTTGACGGCTTGACGCTTTTGATTACGGCAATCGGACATGATGTAGGCCACCCAGGTGTCAACAACGGATTTTTGGTCACTCTCAATGCCCCTCTGGCACAGTTGTACAATGATCGATCCGTGCTCGAGTCGTTCCATTGCGCCGCCTACTCACAGATCCTTCGGCGATATTGGCCAAGCGCTTTCGAAGATACCAAGATGCGGCACCTCATGATCAGCTCCATCCTTGCCACGGACATGGGCCTGCACTTTGATTACATGAAAAGGCTCGGAGATACCCAGGACAAACTGGACGTCGACAACACAACTGATGGTTGGAATGGTCGTATGCAAGAGGAGCAAAAGGCTCTCGTATGCTCACTTCTCATCAAGTGTGCAGACATCAGCAACGTGGTCAGTAGTTCACAATTTCTCGTGTTCAAGTTCGACTACTAACCCAACGGCTTATAGGCAAGGAAGCACGAGACCGCACTGAAGTGGATGTACATTCTTTCGGACGAGTTCTCTCGACAAGCTTCCATGGAGAGTGAGCTAGAAATTACGTCGTCTCTCCTGTCGCCTCCGAAGAAGGACTTGATCTCACTGTCTAAGGCCCAGCTGAGCTTCATGAACCTATTCGCCATCCCTCTTTTCCAGGGAGTGGCGGACATATTGCCAGCAATGAAATACACAGTTGACGAGCTCGAAATCAATAAAGGTCTTTTCGAGCAACGGATCAGGGAAGAGCAGGCGAAGGAGGATCCTATCCGCAAGAGACTTTTGCGCAACGACGGCGCCTTCTCCCCACGAACTATGAGTTTGGCCGGCGGGCCTGAAGGAAGCAGAGACTCCATGACCCCGCGGGTGACGACGCCTCTGACCGAGCTTACCATGCCGCCCCCGCTGCTTGACGACTTGAAGCAGGAAGATGATGGGCTGTCCCAGGGGCCAGCGGGCTCGGAGCACACGACAGCGCTCATCACTGATATGCCGGAGCCGGAGGACCCTAAGGAGGTGAACGGCATCGTGACGTCTTTTGATTCCGTGGCGGACTTTGCAGCAAGCGATCCATTCCACTGCAGGGACAGGGCTAGTAGTTCGCCGGACAATCATCACGGCCATAACGGCAAGCAGCGGTGCAGCGAGACGACGGACGGCAGCACTACGGGCCCGTACACTGGGGACTGGGCCTCACAGGCAACGAGTGCCACCACCGGAAAGATGCCTCTGTCGCCGAGCACTCAAGGCACTAGCATTGTCAGCAGAGAGTCGACGGAGCAGCTTCCAGGCGTACCCACGATCTCGGAGCCAAAGCCATTCGCCGAAGTCAAGCCCGAGTCTACGTTCCTGGATCACGACGCCAACGGACCTCACTACGACGCCAACGGCTCTCACTTGTCGAACGGGTCTTTGGGCAAAACAGAAGGCGGCAAGGTTGTGAAGAAGAAATCTAGTAGATTCCGCATGAATGCCTTCCAGTTCTTTCGGCGGAACCGAGCGTCGAGCCCGTCCATGTCAGCGGCCGACGCAGCCACCTGATAAACCAGGGATTTTGAGCGAGACGAGCCGATTCTGGCATCTACATTCGAATGGTGCGGCACAGGCACAGGAAAGCTACGACTGTGGTGGCTCACGCAGATTTCCCAGCGATCGATATACCCGAGCCACCACGGAGTCGTTAATCTAATCGCGATCCGAGATGACAGGAGCAGCGCCACAGTCGAACGAAAGAATTGTAAAGCACAGTATACGGAACTCGCAAGTTATGTACAGTATTGGGGATGGAGTTAATGCGTATTGGGTGTTTGAGTGCTTCGCCTACATTGGCGGCGATAACGAGGGGAATACGGCCGCGCAAGTCATGAGCTGGATGGCAAAGCCTACGACATTGCTCTTCCGGGGTCTCGACCGCCTGCTCATAAGCAGGCCGGGTGGGAGGCGGCGTTCTGGGCAAGTCGGCAGGTTGTGACGATTTCAGCTTTGGGACAGTCAACAAACGGTCTGATATTGGGCAACAATGGCGGCAATGCCATATTTTGGTCTGGCTAGTGGGCGTGCTATCGGACCATGGAATGGATGGAAGGAGTACGTATGTGAAGGCATACGGCTAGACATAGCCGACAGCCCACAGTAGATGATAGCAAATTCTAACAAGTTCACTATGATGGCGAATCGACCCTACCGGTGCATGCCGAGATGTCAGGAAAGGGGACGTTGTCAGTGCCGCGGTTGCTACGACTCGTTTCTAGACAGAGTCTGGTGGATATGAGGATGAATGTCGAAGTACAATCGTGAAGTTGAATCCTGACGACAAAGTACCTAGGTCTGCGTTGAGACCCTTTCAGTCGATCGGGCGAAACGGCAAGGCATTGGTGGATGGGTGGGTATCTGGACGGCCGAAGAGGTTCTCGCACATATCAGGGAAGGATCCACCCACATGAAGTCATGTCTTGGCCGCGACGAAGGATGGCTTACTGGACTGACACAAACTACGAATATAGTGAGGCACGTATTTAGAGGAAGGAAGACGAATGGCCTAAAGGCTAGTATTCAGAAGTGGGCGAGTATAGCGCCCGTAAGCAGCACACAAGACATTTGGCAAGCGAAATTCAGTTGCAGTTCGCTGGCGATTGACTGAAGCCGCGCCAGCAGCATTGAGAAACAGTTCCAACGCACTGAAAAGTAATGGGTTGTGGCAGGCGTGGGTAGCGGCGGCTGAATGAGGCAAATATTGCGTAAGGTCTAGTACGAACACCATCTTCCTTCTTTCAAAGTTCCTCGATAGACCGACAACACCGCCAGCACGAAGATGGACTTGTTACTGGGGCGTCCGGTCTTGCAGCTTGCGTTTAGAGCGTTGATGGTGGATTTCGCTGGACGTGAGATCCCTCCCGTTTGGTTTGGAATGGCTACCTTAAGCCGGGCGAATGGGATGGTGGCATCAGCTTATCAGCGAGGAAGAATTATGGAACCTCCGCAGCAAAAGGTCCCAGGTCCAGGCACAGGTTCCTGGCCGTGGGATTGTGAGGTGGTGCCTGAGGTGATTGCCAAGCGGTACGGCGGTACCTGACATGACGCAGACGAAGCAGGGCTGGCGAAGAGCGAGGAACGGCGAGGAAACGTACCGGCTTATCAGATTGCTGTGTATCGATGAGTGAGAGTCTGTTAGCAGATCTGCAACAGGCAGGTTCCCTTCTCTAGCGTCCGAGGCGCGGGGATCAGGTGGACAGTGTTTCCCGACTATCGTTTGGCCAACCCTTGGGGAGCTCACGAGCCAGTCGTTTCTCTGCATTGTGAGCTGGAGCTCCCCACAGCAACCTGTGCATTGAGGGTGGTCCACGCGGTTTGTGTAGGTATCCGTATCCGTAGAGCTGTTGCTTGAGTTGTGTCGTTGCCAATGCTGTTGCGAGCCTGCGACAGCGGTAGCGCGACCCAGCTCGGCCAACGCACCCCAGCCCCGATGGCAGCAGCAGTGACAAGCTGTGCACCTCTGCTCTCTGGGTCTCCCCCCCACCCCCAAGCACCCAGAGTATGCGGCAGAGCACCCAGCCAACCCGCCCGCCTCCGTCATGTTTCATTTATTACGTCCGCGAGCTTCCTGCCTGTCGCCTGTCACACTTCCTCCGAGCTCCCTCTTCCTCTCATTCTCTTTCAACCTCCCATCTACAACCTCCTCTCCCTCCGCCATCTCTACTTTCTTCCCCTTCCCATAGTCATCTCATTTCATCTTATCTGATTTCGATTCCATCGTCAGTGCTCCATCAATCGAGTTGACTGCCCATCATGAGGTTCTCAACCTCCGCCCTCGTCCTCGGCGCGGCCTCCACCGCCCTCGCCTTGGACCAGCAGGTCCTTGGCGGCCAGGACAGCCCTTTTGACTCCATTAAGACCACCGGCGAGAACTGGCTCTCGGCTTTCGAGGACAAGTTCGGCAAGATGACCTCCGAGGCCAAGGCCGTTTGGGACGAGATCACCCTCCTCGCTCCCGAGGCCGTCGAGTCCTTCAAGAAGACCGCCCAGGCCACCAAGCCCAAGCCTCACCACCGCAAGTCCGATAAGAAGTGGGACCACGTTGTCAAGGGCGCCGATGTCCAAGGCATGTGGGTTGAGAAGGATGGCGAGAAGCACCGCAAGATTGGCGGTGACCTCAAGAACTTCAACCTTCGCGCCAAGAAGGTCGACCCCTCCGCTCTCGGCGTCGACAAGGTCAAGCAGTACAGCGGATACCTCGATGATGAGGAGAACGACAAGCATCTCTTCTACTGTGAGCCAGCCCGCTCGATACATTGTATTGTATATGTCCGTTTGGAGCCGTTTCTAACCTTATCGCAGGGTTCTTCGAGTCTCGCAATGACCCCAAGAACGACCCCGTCGTCCTTTGGCTCAATGGTGGCCCTGGCTGCTCTTCCCTGACTGGTCTTTTCATGGAGCTCGGCCCCGCTTCCATCGACAAGAAGCTCAAGATTGTCAACAACGAGTGGTCGTGGAACAACAACGCCTCCGTCATCTTCCTTGACCAGCCCGTCAACGTCGGCTACTCCTACTCTGGTTCCTCCGTCTCCAACACGGTCGCTGCCGGCAAGGACGTCTACGCTCTTATGTCCCTCTTCTTCCACCAGTTCCCCGAGTACGCCAAGCAGGACTTCCACATTGCTGGCGAGTCGTACGCCGGCCACTACATCCCCGTCTTCGCCTCTGAAATCCTCTCCCACGAGGACCGCAACATCAACCTCAAGAGTGTCCTGATCGGCAACGGTCTCACCGACGGCTGGACCCAGTACGGATACTACCGCCCCATGGCTTGCGGTGAGGGTGGCTACAAGGCTGTTCTCGACGAGGGCGAGTGCCAGGCCATGGACAACGCTCTCCCCCGTTGCCAAAGCCTGATCAAGAACTGCTACGACTCTGGCAGCGTTTGGTCTTGCGTTCCCGCCAGCATCTACTGCAACAACGCCCTCATCGGCCCCTACCAGCGCACCGGCCAGAACGTCTACGATATCCGTGGCAAGTGCGAGGACAGCAGCAACCTCTGCTACTCTGCCCTTGGCTGGATCAGTGAGTACCTCAACCAGGATGAGGTCAAGGAGGCCCTCGGTGCTGAGGTCGACAGCTACGACAGCTGCAACTTTGACATCAACCGCAACTTCCTCTTCGCCGGTGACTGGTTCCAACCCTTCCACCGCATCGTTCCTGGCCTCCTCGAGAAGATCCCCGTTCTCATCTACGCTGGCGATGCTGACTACATCTGCAACTGGCTCGGCAACCGTGCCTGGACCGAGGCTCTTGAGTGGCCTGGCCAGAAGAGCTTCAACAAGGCCGAGGTCAAGGGTCTTACCGTTGGTAAGGGTGAGGAGTACGGAAAGGTCAAGTCCAGCGGCAACTTCACCTTCATGCAGTTGTACGGCGCCGGACACATGGTCCCCATGGACCAGCCCGAGGCCTCGTCGGACTTCTTCAACCGCTGGCTTGGCGGTGAGTGGGTTGCATAAATGCACTCACGGTAATGAGCAATGTACGAAACGAAGATTGAATAGCGTATGGAATGCTGTTGTAGCAGTGAACGCTCGGATTGGTTCGTAGTACAATACTGGGCATATTGGAGTTTGTCAATACGGGAGGACCCAGTCGTCCGGTTAACCGATAGCGCCAGTTTAAGCCCGGCGCAATAGAATCTAGTTATGCTGTTAGAATATGACTCTTTTTTCCGTAAACTTTCAAGGTATCCTGTTCTGATGGTGCTGTTTGAACGGTTCCGTCGCTACCAACCATGTTGTCCTGTTAGAATATGACTCTTTTTTCCGTAAACTTTCAAGGTATCCTGTTCTGATGGTGCTGTTTGAACGGTTCCGTCGCTACCAACCATGTTGTCCTGCAGCTGTAACGGAGATGAGTCGAAATGACAGTATTAGTCACCGGCGCCTTCTGTGCCTTAGCTGCAGAATTCCTGGCTCGGTATCCGCTAAAACAACGTCAGACCAGCCCAGCACCTGCCGTAAACATATTTCACCACCTGCTGCCCCTCCTCGCAGCTGCACCACATCAATACTTTACCCCGCCAAAACTTTTCTGGCCGACGGCTGCCTCCAACCTCACCGAACAACAACGAACCCAAGTAACTATCTCTCTCGTCGTCGCAAACAACCACATACGGTCGCGAAGGACCATCCTACAAACGATTCTCCATACTTCAAAGACTTATCGAAAAGCGACCGCTCCACAACCGCCACAATGTCGCGGATGATCAACCAACCCTCGAACCAGATCAAGCTGACCAACGTGTCCATGGTCCGCCTGAAGAAGGGCAAGAAGCGCTTCGAGATTGCGTGCTACAAGAACAAGGTCATGGAGTGGCGGTCCGGCATCGAAACGGACCTCGACAACGTGCTGCAGATCCCCAACGTGTTCCTCAACGTCTCCAAGGGCCAGACGGCGCCCAAGGAGGACCTGGAAAAGGCGTTTGGCAAGGGCAAGAGCACGGACGATATCGTGCTGGAGATATTGAAGAAGGGGGAGATGCAGGTGGGCGGGAAGGAGAGGGC